GCATTCCAACCCGATGGTTGAGGGCCTGGGGTATTCCAACCCGATGGTTGATTGGACCCATAGTATGTTGCTTGTGATTTTATGTGTATTGTTGTGTGTATGGCTATTCTGGGGAACTCACTAAGCTTTGTGCTCACGGTTTCAATTTATTGTTTCAGGTGCTTCAGATGTCTCGGGAAGGCAAAGGCATGACCGCACACATCCTAGTGTTTTGGACTTATGGTTTCTAGGATACTCGTGTTTTAAATTGGCTTGATTTTTATGGATGTTACACTACCCCTTCGGTCTTGTCGACCGGTACCTCGCCTACCATATCAAGGTGCTGGCCTACCCATTTGGTCCTTTCGACCGCTACCGGGGACTATTTCACCCCTACTTCTACCACATAGCATCCTAGTGAATAAACATATAAGTCATATATTGCCTAGCATATGCGGATGCTAGCATACCTCTTCATCCCTATCGACCAGTACTGGGATCTATCCTACCCCTCCTACCACTATTACATAACATCATAGCATACTAGCACATAAGCATACCATATAGTGACATACCATATAATTATAACAAAGACAATCATCTCTACTATAGCTCTTACTAGTGGGCCAACATTGGTGCCTTCGACCCACTTCTAATGGAAGGTAACTCACCCAAATGTTGCGTAATAGTTGAACTGTCCTCGGTGCTGGGATCAACTCTTCTCAAACTCCTACACATAACAATCTCCTTCAATTACCATTTCATACTCATATCCCCTTTAAGGATCAACTCTGGTCAATGGTCAAAGTCACAGTCAATATCATGGTCAAGGTCAACATCCTGGTTGACTTAACTCGCTGAGTTGTTCCATCAACTCGTCGAGTTCAATAATCCATAAAACCCTGAAATCTCGATCCTACTCATTGAATCCTTTCATTAACTCGTCGAGTTCTCCCTTATAACATAGTCAGAACCTTTTACTCACAACTCCCTGTGTTCCTCCTTGAACTCGTCGACTTCTCCTTCATACAGAGTCGGGACATTTTGCTCATAACTCGCTGAGTTCCTCCTTGAAATCATCGAGTTCTTTAATCTTCAATCCCAAAACATGTCTAACTTGTTGAGTCATCTCCTAGACTCAACGAGTTTACTCAGTAAAAGAAAATGTTGGGGGACCACAACCCAACTCGACGAGTTGTATGAACAATTCGTCGAGTCCCTAATAGTCTAAATCTATACAGTCATTTCTAGTAGGGGTTAAAGCATCCAAGTCATAGATATGGTTCCCTAGGGTCGATATATCACGTAAAGTTTCTAACTTTACATCCATGCATGGGTTATTTAGCTCAAAAGCCCTAAAAAATGGTTCATAAGTTGCACGGGACTCCCATGGCCATAAAGTTGGCACCTTTATGCCATGGAGTCCCTCAAAGGCTATGGATCTGAAGTTATGACTCCAAAACATGTTTGCATCCATGAATGATCCCAAAATAGGCTCCTTAAAGCCCTAAATTACTCCATGAAGAGATCTAGTATATGAAAAGACAAGGTATAGACTTTATACCTCAATAAGGTTGCCTTGACAACGGAATCTCTGGATCCCAGGCTTCTTACTTCCACCAAGCACTTCTAGCTTCCACTCCTTCAAGGAAATACCAAAGAATCACTCATTTTTCACTCGCACACACTCACAAGGCCCAGGATTACAAATTAGGGTTTTGCTGGACAAAGGGAGGCGATGAGGGAGGCAATAATGAAGTGTTAAAGTCCTTAAATAGGGTGTAAACCCTGAAAATTAGGGTTTCACTTTGGCAGCCCTACTCGTCGAGTAGACATCAAGTCCCGCGTCCCAAAAATCCGTTTCTACTCGACGAGTTTGGGGCCTCCAACTTGTCGAGTCCCATTGCAAAAATGAATAATTATTATTAAAATATATACCAGGAACCGAGCGTTACAAATCTCCCCCAATTATTTTAGACTTCGTCCTCGAAGTCTGCTGCATATGGGAATAGCTCGGGGTAGTGCTCCCTCATCTCGTCCTCTGGCTCCTAAGTCTATTATGAGCCATTGCGGTGCTGCCATTGCACCTTAACTAAATCGACCTTCTTGCTCCTTAGATCCTTTGTCTTCCTGTCGAGTATGGCTACCAATCGCTCGATGTAGTTCAGACTGTCATCCGCCTGAATATCCTCTAGAGGTACTGTAATGCCCGTGTTTCTGGGCTTGTTATTAATAGCAATGTAATAGTCTAAGTTAACATTTGTAACCAATTTTGAAATAATAAGAATGTATTATTTGGGTATTATGTGTTTTATGCTTAATTGGTTATGGATATATGCAAATTTAAGGTTATGTTAGTGTTGTAGCACACATATTTGTGTGCAATTTTTAGGTTATGTTAGTGTTGTAGCCCACATATTTGTGTGCAATTTAACTAATGCATTTGTGTGGTTTGTCCTACTTAATAATCGAAACATGGTTCCTTTTTAATTTTTTAATGTCACTTATGGCTTATTGAAATTAGAAATGTAAACTATCATATATTTATTAATGTAATGGTTATTAAATTTAGAGATGTAAACTATTATACATTTATTAACGTAATTGAATGTTATATTATGTACTATTTTAGAAGCAACAACAAATAATCTAACTGAAAAAAAAAAAAATTAAACTTGAAATATAATAATATATCATCTTTGAAATTAATTACATAAAACATAACCTCATGTCGAAATTGATCATTATAATATCCAAATGGAGTTAGCACTATCAAATATAATAATAGTTCAAAAATTTTATTCAAATTTGATGGTTGTTAATTTCTATTTCATTTTTTTTTGTTGGTCTTGATGTGCTAGCTGTTGATGTTTTTGTTTCTTTTGCTTTCCCATTGTCTGGTTGGTTTCACTTTTGTGTTTGTTTAGGAGAACGTGGTTTTGTTGTTAACAAAGTTTCATCTTCATTTTATAGTTGGATCTGTCATTTGTTTTCTTTTTGATGTTCAGGGAGTCTATGTGCCTTGACAACGATGAATCTTATGATAGGGTTTTCTTGATTCGATGTCTGATATGATCGTACATATGCTAGAAGTGGTAATAATCCAATTGATTTTGCAATTATATGTTGTACATTTTGTTCTTGTTTTGTAAAATGTTAATATTAAATAAAGGACCGTTAAATTACATTTGTAATATTTAAAATAGTAGACTTACATTTTCTTCTGCATCTTTGATTTAATTGAATGAACTTTTTAATTTCGATCGTTGAAATGCTTGCACCAGTTGTTCCGGTTCCATCATCGATTTCAATTATTGCCCTTGACCTTCACATGCAAACATCAAAAGCAACAACACCTTACTCGAGGAAGAACATCAACATATAAAATTACATGTAAGAGATGCTTTCATTTTATGTTGCTATTTTCTTTTTTGCCTAGATTTGTTGATTTCTTATGGTCTATGGCCAATAGCTTATAACGTAAAGCTTAGAGATTATAAATTGTGATTTATGACTTAAGGATTACAAGTTTAAAGTTTAGGCCATCCGGTACGGAGGCTTTTCCATTCGCATGTATCCTATGTGGAAGGGTTTTCCACACTAGTGAACACCATCTCAAAGCTTAGTGGGTGTGTTGTGGAGTGGTGACTATCATGGATGTCTAAGCAACCTCTTTCTCTTCTTTACTATAGTAGGTGGGTTGTGAAAGTACATGATGATGATGATATAGAACTGTTTTCATGAGTATTGATACCGGATGATATTATGGTTTAAAAGATTAGGTCTTTAGGCGTAGGATTTAAGGTTTATAACTTGGTTTTTAAAGAACTATACAGTAGTTTAAGTGGGCTTAACATGTCTAATTTTTTTGTTGACAAATACATAAATTTATCTACACAATAAAAGACCGCTACTACCATCTATGACTATGAGCATCATGTATTTATTTATTTATTTTGAAAAACCTAGATCGAGATACTCTTAAATTTAATAAAAAGTGATGCTTTCACAAATGAGCATAATAAAGAGGACAAGACAGTAAGAACATAGGAAAGAAGCTTTTTTATGTTATCCGCCAATTTGGAAGAAGGAGCAAACCAACAGTGACACTTCTCGTGATTTTCTTCCATTTAATTTCAATCCTACTGCTCCCTTCCCTCTCTCGTGCCCTAACTTCCTCCTCTTCATCCATCAACCCTACTTCTACTTCTTCTTTTTCTTCATCCCCAATTCGCTGTTTCAGGCAACCAGTCTTTCATACCTCCTCCTTGTTACATATGTATACGTTGCAGATTTACGGGTATGTTGTTCGTTTCTGACGATTTTTCAATTCATACTGATCCCATGGAATCTATGAGTTTTGATTATTATTTTATATATTAGTTCTTAGATTACACGCCGCATGAAGCTAAAACTACTAGTACGATTTGTCGTTATATTAATCGGAATTACAATAATATGTTCCTGAATTTTGTAAGAATAGTTCTATAATCGGATTATTATAAGGGAAATAATATATTTATTGTTCCTGATGTTATACGTTAGGAGACAGTATTATATAATATCAAGCAGGATTTTCATCCGTTTTTTTTGTTCAAAATTTTGGTTGGAGGTAGCGATGGGGAGGGTTTGGTACTTTCGTTACAAGTTAAGTTGTTCTGTAAAGTCACCATGAGTTGCGCTGGAATCTACTTTGTTATACACATAATTCAAACCCTAGTCCCTAAGTGATACAAAATGTGTCGTTTTAATTTCAAGTTCATTCTTTTAGGTCTATTCTTCTTTCTTCGCACATCAAGTATCTGTTTGAGATAAACATCTGAAGTCTGAATGTTGTGACAGAATCTGAAGCTTTCAAACTGCAAGGGGACAAGGTGTCCGAAGTTACTATAACATCTTCATTACAGTATGATAAGAAAAGACCACAAGGATGAGTAATACGCCTCTCTTAATCCCTACATATTTTCAAAATGCTTAGCTAGAAATGGGCTAAGGTACATTTCCATAACACATCTATCAACATGGGCACTTTTCATGGCACACGTGAAATCATTGAATTGGAAGAAAATTCAGATTTTAAATCCAGTAAGCATGGGGAGAAGTTCAATATAGAAGATGAAATCAACCGTCTTTTTGAAACAATTAGGGTTTCTGCCAAGACAACAGGTTTAGCACAAGTTCTTAAAGATAAACAGAAGAAATCCATGAAAAGACCAATGAAAGTTGGCCCTTATCAAGCATCAAGAATTGGGATTTCAGAACCTGCTAGTTTAAAACAGGCATTGAGAGGATTAAGCATCTCTCAAGCATCAGAAATGGCAGCTATGAAGAGGTTATCAAAACCAGTAACAGTAACATCTTCAGGAAGCTTTGAAGGTGGACCAGTCAAACAGTCACAGATAGCAGTGGAAGAATCCTTTGTTCCAGAACCTTCCGGAAAGATACCCAAATCTTTACAAAACAGAAACCTTAAACTGAAACTTTCTTCTTTATCCACTCGATCTAGAAAGAAACTCCCTGTGGTAGATGAAATCAAACCGGATCTAATCAAAGAAGTCGAAAAAAGACCTGATTTATTGGTCAATAAAATCGATGACAAATCAAGGTCAAAAGAAAAGGGGGAATTCTCTCAAAGCTCAAAAAGCAGCAGCCTTGGTGAATGCAGCAGTAGTACAAGCTTCAGTTGTGACAGCAACATAAGTAATTTTAGCAGAAATTCATGTCGGCCTCACATGTCAAAAGATTCAAGATGGGAAGCTGTTTTATGTGCTCAAAAACACCATGGAAGCTTGAATCTAAAAAACTTTAAGTTAATCAAGAAAATTGGAGGTGGGGATCTTGGAACTGTTTACCTCACGGAGCTTCTTGGGTCACATTGCTTTTTTGCAATGAAAATTGTGGACAATGAGTTGTTGACACTTAGAAAAAAAGCTTCAAGGGCACAAACGGAAAGAGAAATATTACAATTACTTGATCACCCATTTCTCCCTACTTTATTTTCCCAATTTACAACCGATAAATATTCATGTTTAGTCACTGAATATTGTCCTGGAGGCGATTTGCATGTCCTTCGGCAAAAACAGCCCAACAAATGCTTCTCTGAACATGCAGCCAGGTAACAATTTAAGTTACAAATTAGTGCATGTTATGTTTTTGATCCCTGATAATAGTTGATTTTATCATTTTTGCTCCCAAAAAGTCTTATCTTGCAATATTGGTCTTTGTTTGAGGTTTTTGTATCGTTTTTGGTCCCTGTTCGAAGTAAAATGACTATATTTGGGACCAAAATTGCAAAAATCAGCTATATTCAAGGACCAAAAATAGTCATTTTACATTTTTACTTTACGAAGAACCTCAAATAAGGACTAAAATTGCAAGAAAAAACTCATTGGCTCCAAAATTGCAAAAAGCAGCTATACTCAGGGACCAAAAATAGTCATTTTACTTGGAATAGGAACCAAAAATGTTACAAGAACCTGAAATACACTAAAATTGCAAAAATTAGTTGTACCCAGGGACCAAACCTAGTCATTTTACTTTACTTGGAACAGGAACAAAAACGTTACAAGAACCACACATACGGACCAAAATTGCAAAAGAAACTTTTTTGGGACCAAAATTGCAAAAATCAAGTCTACTCAGCCACCAAAATTATTCATCTTACTTAGAATTACAAAATCCTTAAATAAGGATCAAAAGTGCAAAAGTAAGCTACACTTAGGGACCAAAAATGTAATTTACTAAAATATATTATGATCACGTTTATGATGTTTTGTTTTGGTCTAGGTTTTATGTTGCTGAAATACTCCTTGCTCTAGAGTACCTACACATGCTTGGAATTATATACCGCGACTTAAAACCCGAAAACATTTTGGTACGAGAAGATGGTCACATCATGTTGACCGATTTTGACTTATCCCTAAAATGCGATCCTAATCCAACGGTTGTTATAAATCCATCACATTCCATCAATCCTCCTAAAAATAAAGATTCTTCAAGTTGCATAGGCCACCCGTTTTGTCTTCAACCCTCATGGCAAGTCCCATGTTTCACTCCAAACCTAAAACCCGATCCAACGGTTACAACCGCCACCCCACAGCTAATAGTGGAGCCTCATGGCGCACGATCAAACTCCTTCGTTGGGACCCACGAGTACCTGGCACCCGAGATTATAAAAGGGGAAGGGCATGGGAGCCCTGTGGATTGGTGGACTTTTGGGGTTTTGTTGTATGAGCTTTTATATGGTAGGACACCTTTTAAGGGGATAGGAGATGATGAGACTTTAGGAAATGTGGTTTCAGAAGATGTTAAGTTTCCTGATTGGCCGATTGTGAGTTTTGAGGTTAAAGATTTGGTTAAAAGTTTGTTGAGAAAGGAGGTGGGGGATCGGTTGGGGTCGGTTAAAGGGGCGGTTGAGATTAAGGAACATCGGTTTTTTGAGGGTTTGAATTGGGCTTTGATCCGGTGTGGCACGCCACCCGAGATGCCGAAAGTATGTGATGTTAGAGGTGTGGGTGTAAAGAGTTTAGAGAAAGAGTTTAAGGGTAGATTTGATGAGATGTTTTAGGGAAAATATGTTTTGGTTTTGGCTGTAAGTTGTAACATATGAATAAATATAGGTGTAGATTCTGATTAGGATATATGTATAGTGTACATGATGTAATACAAGAAAGATATATTTGTGTATCATTTGAAGAAAATTTTTCTTTGGTCTTTGGTCTTTGTTAATAACGGACTTGTACTAGTGTTTTGGGATGAGGAAAAGAATAAACAATAAGAGGTAGAGATCATAATGTCGAATCTTTAAATAAAATTATAAAATTTTGATTTTATGATTTCAAACGTGTGAAAACAATGAAGGGCTAGAGATCATCTTAACCGGGAAGTATGGGAAAGAAGGGGCGCTCTTGACTGAAAATGGTCAAAGGTATATAATTCCTAACCAGACCTAGGTGTCTTTATGGGCATAGATGGCCCAAGTTTATTATTATTATTATTTTTTTAAAAAGCAGGGAAATATATTAATAATAGAAAAAAAAAAAAAAAACTAATAAGAAGCTATGAGATACAGCAACGAAATACAAGAAGAAAATGACAACATTACGAACGATCTATGCATTCGAGGATTGGATTTTGGATTGCAGCAAAGTTGAGTGAGATTTAGGATCGACGTTAATTTACGATGGTTACATATGACCCAAAGAAAGACTGTCAAGAACACCTCGTGTATTTCTGCTAGACTCTCATGTCATTTAATTGAAGTTATATAATGTGACATTCGCGATTTGGGACTAAATTTTTGGATATTTTGGTATAAAAATCTCATAAATATAAATTAAAGAGACATTAAATTAGTGAAATAAGTGTTCAAAGTACTTTGAAAAAAGACAAATAAGATATTTAATTTGATTGTGGTTATTTTATTTTAAAAGTTTCTTTTTCTTAAAATTTGCCATTACCTAATTGGATAAAATCTTTCGATTTATATTATCTCCTAATTTAGATAAAATTTTTAATTCTAATTACAAGTCATATTAGGTTTATTATAAATAGGCTAGTTGTCTTTCAGTTTAAACAATAGACTAGTTGTCTTTCGGTTTAAACAATTGATTTTTATTAAAAAAAAAAAAAAAAAAAACTATTCGAAACCCTATTTTTGTTCTTTTTGTGTTTTTTGTGGTTGCAATCCGCCATTAAATTCGATCATCTGGATATTATTTGGAATCAACACAAACATATGAATGGTTGAAAACCAGGCTAATCAGATTTCTTCTAGGAAGGCCTCATGGTACACAAAATCAACGAGGAGGTTGTTATGGTATCCAAAGGGTAGGTGTGGTAAAGACCATTAACATCATTACTTAAAAAGAGATATTAAGATCTTTACTTCAAAATTTGAACTTTAGTATTTTAACCACATAAAGATCATTAACATCATATTACTTAAAGTGTTTTCAAAATCAAGAACAAATATTTATCATGTATCAAACTAATGACGAGTACTACTTCACAGTTTTCTATAAATAAAAAAATAAATAAAAAGCAAAAAATATATCCACTTTTAAGGTTCTATACGTACCGTGATAACTCCAAATTATTTATTATACCCCTCACATACTCCAAATTATTTATTACACCCCTTACATATAAGGCTTTGAGTCTTTATATGTTTGATTTTTTATTTTTTTTATGCTAGTTAGAAGAATACGTATAATAACACTCACTTTAAGTTATGTTGTTGATAGCTGAAAAGCTAACTGTTAAATAAAAAATTAGCTGATAGCTGAAAAGCTAGCTAATAAAAAATAACGTTTGGTAAAACTAGCCGAAAAGCTAGCTAAAATATATAAAATGATATAAAACAACGTTTAAAAAAAATATGTTTTTATAATTAATTCAGGGATATATTTCAAAATTTTAAAAAAACTCCTATAAATCTAGTTTAAGGCTATGTTGGCGTAATAGCTGAAAAACTAGCTGTTAAATAAAAAACTGGCTGATAGTTGAAAAGTTAGCTAATAAAAAATGATGTTTGGTAAAACTAGCTGAAAAATATGAAATTTAAAGGGTATATTTGAATTTTTTTTAAAAAGCTTATAAAAAGCCAGTATAAGTAGCATTTTAAAAAGCTAGCTTATAAGCTACTTTTTGGTTACCAAACATGACAATTTAAAAAAGTTCAAAAAATAAGTTAGCTTTTTTGCTAGCTGTGGCATGCCAAAAACAGTCTAAGTAACTTTTTAAAAAACTAGTTTATAAGCTACTTTTTGGTTTGTCAAACATAACAACTTAAAAAACTCGAAAAATAAACTAATTTTTCAACTAGTTGTTGTAGCCCGCCAAATAGCTGTTGTAGCCGGCCAAACTCTCCCGTTAAAAGTTATTATAGATTTTTTTTGAGTGCCGACCGCAAGTGCTTTTACTTTCAATTTTGTCTTTAATATTTTATAGGATTTATACCGCTTTAATACGTTTCATATTTAACTTTTTTCATTAACTGACTATTAATTTTAATCTTCCAAAAACCGTCTTGAAAATTCCTAAAATCTCGTTTGTGGATTTTGGACAATTTACGGTCACGTATTTAGTAAAACTAACTAACGTATCTAGTAAAACTAACTATTTTATTTGTATATGAAAGCTTATAAATTATATATAATTATATAAAAAGCATATCTAAAATAAAATAACTTTTAAATTTAAAATCTTTTATTATAATTAAACTAAAAGTTTAACAAAAGTTTTGATTTTTAATTTTTTTTTATTTAAAACTAAAAACGTCCCAAACATGCTAACTAAACTAAAAATTTCTATTGCTGAACAAATTTTTTGATATTTTTTTATTTATTTTAAAACTAAAAATTAAAAGCTTACAAAGATTTCGTTCCAAACACACCGAATGTTATTATATCCTATAATACTTCGTAAACTTCTTCAGAAGTTAGTTACCATGTAACGTATTCGCTCGGCATCTTTTAATGCATCAAATTTATATTTGATTATACTTTAATTCAACTGAAATCCAGAATTATGTTTTGCTATCAATTTATTTATTTATTTATTTTTTAAATACATCGAACAAAATTTGAAAACAACTTTGTAAATCATAACGTATTTTTCGCAACTTCGCATAATAAATCACATATTCAAAATCTAACCCAGCATTTCTCACTAATTTAGTAGACTTTAATCTACATAGGCACACTACTACTATGATACGATATAGACTGCAATTCTAACATTCTATATCTAGATCACAATCATACGTATATACAATTTGCAAATCCATTCACTTAAGTTGCAATTTACATAAATACATTATTTTCCACCTATTATTCATAGCACCCAACAACACATTACAATACTCACATAACGACGAATTCTGGTTAACATTTAACTGATAACCAAAACCATATAAACTTAGAACAATAAGACATAAAGATAAAATCACACACTCAATCTTTCTTTCCGATTCCATGCGACATGTTATAGATACCACGTCCCTGTTAAAGTACCCAAATAATCTGTTAAGTATGGAGCAACTGTTGAAGTTGATTTCAAGGAGAAAAAAGAAGGGTTAAGAACATACAATGAGGTAGAGAGAAGAACCCGCTAATGCAAGAGGAATAGCAACTGAGGTAATCTTGTCCATTGGACCTTTCAGGTATGTGTGTTTCTGGATGCTTTGATACATTTTTTGCTTCTCAATCAGCTTTTCTCGTGGCCTAAAAGGTGGCTCTTCTACCATTTCCTGTTCATTCAACATTAACTAATTGAGTTCTCTCGCTTTGATTTGAAGTTGTTAAATGTTAATTTAGAAGAAAGATTGATGGAAATAACAACGAAAAAGTAGGAAATTTGTCTGAATGGATTAAATAGCATCTTAAACTGCTGCCGAAGTGTTAAACATTGCAGCTTTCATGTGAAGAAGGGGAACGTATGTAAGAACCCTTAAACATTTCAGGTATATCGACAGAAATCCGTAGCAAAAATCGAAAAGAACAGACAATTTCAAAAATCGGTAGATGAGTTGAGAGATGTGATTAAACTAAATTCAAATAGGAGATTGAAAATAGTAGGTAACAAACATTAATGTAGGTAATCGGAAAGTACATAGCTATTAGAGTATCATAAAGCTATAGAAATTATATTAAGTTAACTACGAAGGAGACTTACGTTAGTATTGAAAGAGTACAGGTGCTCGCGCAGACGCAGAAATAGAGCATCGACAAGCGAGATAAAACAGAGGGGAGACGAAGATTCGAGAATGGTAAAGAAGCTGCAATCACAGTGGGCCGTTTGGGCTTCAGTGTTAGGTTTGTTGGGCTTAGATTTTGGTATATTTTTGTATTTTCTTAAATAAATTCAACAGCTTCGTGCATTCTTGTTCCTTGTTCCTAATTTTTTATTTATTATTATTATTATTTTTTTTTTTGGAAATCTCTATTATTAAAGTCTTATTATTTTATCTTAATCTATAAATAAGTCTCAAACGAAAATTTATTTAGAAAAAATATGAATTAGCGGTAAAAATGACGATTTGACCATTTTATTTTCAGTTTACCGATTTCATTGCAGATCTAAACACATTAAAGTCTTATTAATTTATCATAATTTACAAATAAGTCTCAAACTAAATCTTGTTTACGAAAAAACAAGAATTACTAGTAAAAATGATGATTTGACAATTTTCTCGCTATAACACATATTTTACCGATTTCATTGCTGACATAGACGCTAATAATTAAATGAACTGATGAAATGAATATGTTGGGTTATATAATGTCGTAAAACTTGATATTTCAGTTGCACTGTATATTTTTGGAATATGAATGCATCCGATGAAGACTATAATGATTACATAAACTTGCAACAATTTCATCATTTTTTAAGTTTATAAGAAATTTTAAATTGTCTAACTATATTTTATTTAACCCAATATATCCATCTTACCGACTCATTTCTCGCCCTTTTTTCCCGCAACACACATTTTACCAATTTCATTGCCAACCTGAACGCCTAGTCATTAAATTAACCGATTAGATAAATATGATGAGTTATATATTGCTACATTTACCTTAAAACTTAATATCCATTACAGACGCCTAGTCATTAAATGAGTTGATGAAATAAGTATCAAGTTTTAAGGTAAACATAACATTATATAACCCATCGCATTTATCTCATGGGTTCATTTAATGATTAGGTGTCCAAGTCAATAACGAAATCGGTAAAATATGTGTTAAAGGATATGTTAAATGTGACTTGAGCATTTGGAGCATTCTCATGGAGCATTTGGAACACTTAGAACTAAATGGAGACAATCGGGGAAAAGCTCATTA